TTTTAKTTTAGTCTAATTCTCTAGGTTTTAAACGATTCTCACAAATAAATTTGGATAATTTGGGCGAAAAAAGACAGAAAATCGCAAAACTGGAACTAAAAACGAAATTTCTTTGCTTGTTTTGATCCATTTAAAGCGTTTTTCAACAAAAAATACAGTAAAATAAAAAAAATGGTTATTATATTGCAAAAAAACACAAAATTGTTAACTGTTTCTCTAGTTTTTGGTCGAAACTAACAAAATTTGAAAGATTTAGTCAAAACACAAAAAAATGAAAAAATTAGGCTTATGTCTTATTTCCCCTCGTTTTTTCCTCCTTTTTTCACCGAAAAACTAACACAAATGTAAAATATTTGGCCAAAATAGTGCAGATAATCAAAAGATTTAGCCAAAACAGACAAAAAAGACAGAAAATCACAAAACTCGATCTGAAAACGTTATTTTTTCGCTTGTTTTGATCCATTTAAAGCGCTTTTGAACAAGAAATACAGTAAAATAAAAAAATGATTAAAATATTGCAGAAAAACACAAAATTGTCAACTGTTTCTTTAGATTTTTGTATAGGTAAGATAAAAAATTTGAAAGATTTGGTCAAAATAATGCAAAAATACTTCCGTCCATGTCTCTAGATTTAAAGCCCTTTTTTCACCAAGAAACTAACAAAATGTGAAATGTTTGTAAAATATAGTGCAAAAAATCGTTTTCCTATGTTTTGGGCGTTTTTCACTAAAAAAAGGCATTAGATTTAAAATATTTCGGCAGCACAAACTCCCTAATTCGACCAAAATACAAGATTTTTGTCTGTTCTTCTAGATGTTAGGTGGTTTTTTTTACCGAAAGTGTATTTCAATTGAGAAACTTATTATTAAAGCAGAGATTTCCCTAAATCTAGAATATTTTAAAATTTCTGCGAAGCGAAGAGAATTTTTTAGTATTCGTTTTATCTCATTAAAAATTCAAACTTTTTAAAACCTCCAAGCTTAAAATTCATCAAATATAAAAAAGACACAATGTAAATAATGTAAAGTCCGAATTAGCGAAGTTAGTTGTTAAAAAATTCTTCATGGAGTTTATAAACAACTATTGCAAATTCTATAAACAAGAAATTATTTGTTATAAATCTACTAAACAAGAGAGAAAGTATAGAACTGCTCAAAAATAAGATAAAAATGATATTTTTTTAACGTGTAGATGAAAAAGCATGTTAAACATCTATTGTTTCTGCAAGATCACTAATTAATTACTTCAAATTTCATTAAAAAAAAANTTCCTCCTTTTTTCACCGAAAAACTAACACAAATGTAAAATATTTGGCCAAAATAGTGCAGATAATCAAAAGATTTAGCCAAAACAGACAAAAAAGACAGAAAATCACAAAACTCGATCTGAAAACGTTATTTTTTCGCTTGTTTTGATCCATTTAAAGCGCTTTTGAACAAGAAATACAGTAAAATAAAAAAATGATTAAAATATTGCAGAAAAACACAAAATTGTCAACTGTTTCTTTAGATTTTTGTATAGGTAAGATAAAAAATTTGAAAGATTTGGTCAAAATAATGCAAAAATACTTCCGTCCATGTCTCTAGATTTAAAGCCCTTTTTTCACCAAGAAACTAACAAAATGTGAAATGTTTGTAAAATATAGTGCAAAAAATCGTTTTCCTATGTTTTGGGCGTTTTTCACTAAAAAAAGGCATTAGATTTAAAATATTTCGGCAGCACAAACTCCCTAATTCGACCAAAATACAAGATTTTTGTCTGTTCTTCTAGATGTTAGGTGGTTTTTTTTACCGAAAGTGTATTTCAATTGAGAAACTTATTATTAAAGCAGAGATTTCCCTAAATCTAGAATATTTTAAAATTTCTGCGAAGCGAAGAGAATTTTTTAGTATTCGTTTTATCTCATTAAAAATTCAAACTTTTTAAAACCTCCAAGCTTAAAATTCATCAAATATAAAAAAGACACAATGTAAATAATGTAAAGTCCGAATTAGCGAAGTTAGTTGTTAAAAAATTCTTCATGGAGTTTATAAACAACTATTGCAAATTCTATAAACAAGAAATTATTTGTTATAAATCTACTAAACAAGAGAGAAAGTATAGAACTGCTCAAAAATAAGATAAAAATGATATTTTTTTAACGTGTAGATGAAAAAGCATGTTAAACATCTATTGTTTCTGCAAGATCACTAATTAATTACTTCAAATTTCATTAAAAAAAAAATACTACACGTAAAGCTAAAAAAATTAGAAAATTTACGCTAATTAAGTTCTCTAAATTAGACCCTAGTACAAAAAATGGATAAAAAAGTAGGTTTTACACTTTTTTACACTGTTTTCTCTGGCTTTAACCAGCAACCCAAAATGTACAAATAAATACGGAAAAAACACGATCCTGCTAATTTAAAAAAGTTCTTTCATAGCATTGACTCGTATTTGATGGCAATAAAAAAATAAAGCAAAAAAAAACATTCTATTCAACCCCTATTACAAATTTCCGATTTGCACCTTGGCTATTGAAGCGAAAACATGAAAACATTTTTAACCTAATTAGCCGAAAACTTTGTAAATCACAACAAAGTGACATTTGTTTTATTATTTCCTCAAACTTTCGACTCCTAATTCCAATCAAAGATAAACGAAATCGAGTCCACACAAATRACCCAAATTTAAGCCACAGTGCGYTATTTTGWCAAAATTTGGTAAAAAATAATGCAGAAAATAAAAATTGATCAAAAACGTTTTATTTTAGTCTATTTCTCTACGTTTTAAACGATTCTCACAAATGAATTGGATAATTTGGGCGAAAAAGGACAGAAAATAGCAAAACTGGATCTAAAAACGTAATTTCTTTGCTTGTTTTGATCTATTRAAAGCGCTTTTTAACAAAAAAATACAGTAAAATAAAAAACAGGTTAAAATATTGCATAAAACCACAAAATTGTTAACTAATTCTCTAGGTTTTGGTAAAAACTAACAAAATTTGAAAGATTTAGTCAAAACATGCAAACATGCCTAAAATGCCTTATTTTCCCGAGTTTTTTTCATATTTAGAGCCTTTTTCACTGAAAAACTAACAAACTGTATGTAAAATATTTATCCAAAATAGTGCAGATAAAAGATTTAGCCAAAATAAACAAAAAATCGCAAACTTACCAAACTTTTCTTGTAAAATAAATAAATCGTGAGTAAAATATTTGTGATTTAGAGGAGATGCTTTTACTGTTATTATGAATAATTCAATTTTTTTTCATAAGAATTTGAACGGTGCAAACTTTTCGATTTAAAATTCAACACAATAACAAATTTTCTGACTAAACTGTCAAAGACTTTTGAAATAAAAATTAAATTAATTACATTAAAATAAAAACAGTTAATGTAAGCTATGAAAATTAAAAATGCTATCTAGAAAAAACTTTAATAAATTTGGCTATTTTGGGCAATAAAAGACAGTAAATCGCAAAACTGCATCTAAACAACATTATTTTTTCGCTTGTTTTGATCCATTTAAAGCGCTTTTCAACAAAAAGTACAGTAAAATCAAAAAATTTGGCTAAAATATTGCAGAAAAAAATTGTCAACTGCTCTCTAGATTTTAGTAGAAGAAAGATTTGGTCAAAAAGTGCAGAAAATAAAAAAAATCATACCTAAAATGCCTTATTACCGCTCGTTTTTCCATATTTAGAGCCTTTTTCACAAAAAACTAACAAAACGTAGAATATTTGTCAAAAATAGTGTAGATAATCAAAAGATTTAGTCAAAACAGACAAAAAAATCGCAAAATTTGATCAAAAAGACAAAAATTTTGCCTGCTATTCTAAATCTTGCGTGTTTTTTACCGAATGTTTATTGCAATTGAGAAACTTATTATTAAAACAGAGATTTCCCTAAATCTAGAATATTTTAAAATTTCTGCGAAGCGACGAAAATTTTTTAGTATTCGTTTTATATTATTAAAAATTCAAACCTTATAAAACCTCCAAGTTTCATTATATATAAAAAGACACAATGTAAATAAACATAGAAAGTCCGAATTAGTGAGGAATCTATAGCTGTAAAAAAAATACTACACGTAAAACTAAAAGAATGAGAAAATTTACGCTAATTAAATTCTCTAAATTAGACCCCAGTACAAAAAATGGATAAAAAAGTAGATTTTACGCTTTTTCACTGTTTTCTCTGGCTTTAACCCGTAACCCAAAATGTACAAATAAATACGGAAAAAACACGATCCTGCTAATTTAAAAAAGTTCTTTCAATGCATTAACTCGTATTTGATGGCAATAAAAAAAATTAAAGCAAAAAAAAACATTCTATTACAAATTTCCGATTTGCACCTTGGCTATTGAATCGAAAACATAAAAACATTTTTAACCTAATTAGCCGAAAACTTTGTAAATCACATCAAAGTGACATTTGTTTCATTATTTCCTAAAACTTTCGACTCCTAATTCCAATCAAAGATAAACGAAATCGAGTCCACACTTGACCGCAGCTTCCATTTGGGAAAATTTGCWATTCCTACACACAATTTAGCAATGGTATAATGATCCATTAGCGAACGACATCATATGACTTTGTGATGGCGAAATAGGGAGACAAAGCCGTTCAATTTGGACGATTTGTCCTGTTTGAATTGCACCAGTTGAACTATTAATTATTGGGGAAACGCTCGATGAACTCCCGAGGGACTCACCTTATAGGCTAATGAACAAAATATCAAACGGTCAAGTGGCCCTTATCACGCGCTTATCTCRTATTAAAATGTATAGGGCGCCACTCCAGCCCTGTGTCTACCAATGATTTATCTCAGAATCAGATGATTAAACAAAACAAACAAAAATCGAGCGACAAGGGATTAAACAAATAACCGATAAAAGAACAACAACTAGATTAATTCTCTCCGATTCGTTATTTTCTGGAAGTAATCTCGGGATTAAGATAAAAAAAATCGAATCCGAAGTATTTCATTCACTTGATTCAATTGAGAACATCGCACTGATTTCAAGATTTGTCTTATCACAGATAAATAAGATAGAACTACTGGTAAAAATAATAGTGTGATGGTTTGCCCTAATAAAATCAAGTCGGTTGTGAGTGTCCAGGATGTGTCACTTGGTAATTGGCTGAGGTATGTCCACGCCCACTTCCAGACTTGTTTTTATATTAATTTCCACAATGTATTAACTTTTGACATAAACGCCAATTAGTTAATTGTTTATTTTCTATAAGCCACTTGTTGATCTAGTCATCGCAATAATCAAGGTCATGTTTGCGGTGTAATTATTTTTAATAGGGCTCATCTAGGGACGGAAATCTAATTTAATTTCCTTGAGTGTAACGACTTTAGAACAAAACTCCATCATGGTAATTATTAGCCGGCGCCATCAAACGCAATTATAATAAGACGGCCATTTTTCCTTTTCAAAGAGTTGTTTTGTGAAGAAAATATCAATTACGTGTCAATTAGCAAAATCTAACTCGGAGCAAAAAGAATATGCTTTGTTTCAACAGGAAACAAACAAATTTAATTATTTTCGGATCACGATTCGAATCCTCTTCATAACAAGCGACAAATAATTCTAAAGTTCAACAGTTATCCTCTTATGTCCATTATATTCACCTACAAGCGGATTGGGAGCTTTGCAAAGACCAGATGTGCCCCCAAATGGAGTTCGCCCCAATTTTCGCACGCGTTTTGAAACGTTGAAAGTCAAAAGCTTCGAAATCAAATAGTAAAATTTTGGTTTGAGTAAATAGAGAACTGCTTTTATCGCAATAAAAAGTGTGAGAGTAATCATTATTAATTGTGATAAATCTCCTCCAGCGCCAGTCTTGAGCTTTCTCATCTTAAGAGGATTTCAAGCTTTGTTCTAGCATTAAACGATTATAGTTCCACAGTTCTATCTCTTTATGGTTTTTAGCAAAATCCAGAAAATCCCGACASGGTAATATTTCTATTCAAAATCTCATACACCCTAAGATTTGTGCATCTTTCTACTACAGTCTTAAAGTTATCACGTTTTCTCGGAATAAAATATGTTCCGTAAACCGGAGATTAGCACAAAAATATCAATTTAAATTTGAATAATTTTGGCAAAAAAAAAACAGAAAACCGCAAAGTTGTATCTCAAAAATTGTTATTTATCGCTTGTTTTGTTCTATTTAAAGCGCTTTTTCRGAAGAAATACAGTGAAATCAAAACAAAAGCACAAAATTTTCAACCGTTTCTCTAGATTTTTGTATAAATTGAAAAAATTTAAAAAATTTGGGCAAAATAATACAAAAATCAGGCCAAAAATGCTTTACTTTGGTCCGTTTCTCTAAATTTAAAGCCATTTTTTCATCGAGAAACTAACAAAATGTGAAATATTTGTCCAAAATAATACGTTTTTCACTAAAAAAAAACATTACATTTAAAATATTTCGGCAGCAAAAACTGCCTAAAATCAAAAGATTTGTCCAAAGTAAACAAAAAATTTTACCAAAATACAGGTTTTATTTAGATGTTGGATGTTTTTTTACCGAATGTGTGTATTTCAATATGTGTATTCAATTGAGAAACTAATTATTAAAACAAAGATTTCACTAAATCTACACATGAAATGACCAAAATTTAAGTTAATTTGAGAAAATTTGGTAAAAAATAATGCATAAAATAAGAAATTGATCAAAAACGTTTTAATTTAAACTATTTCCCTAGGTTCTAGACAATTTAATAAATTTGGATAATTTTGGCGAAAAAAGGCAGAAAATCACAAAACTGTATCTAAAAACGTTATTTTTTCGCTTGTTTTGATCCATTTAAAGCGCTTTTCAACAAGAAATAGAGTAAAATAAAAAAACCGGTTAAAATATTGCAGAAAAACACAAAATTGTCAACTGTTTCTTTAGATTTTTGTATAAGATAAAAAATTTGAAAGATTTGGTCAAAATAATGCAAAAATACTTTCGTCCGTTTCTCTAGATTTAAAGCCCTTTTTTCACCGAAAAACTAACAAAATGTGATGCAAACTAGTGCAAAAAATCGTTTTCCTATATTTTGGGCGTTTTTCACTAAAAAAAAAAACATTAGATTTAAAATATTTCGGCAGCAAAAACTCCCCTTAAAATCAAAAGATTTGGCCAAAATAAACACAAAATTAGACCAAAATACAAGATTTTTGTCTGTTCTTCTAGATATTGAGTGTTTCAATGTGTATTTCAATTGAGAAACTTATTATCAAAACAAAGATTTCACTAAATCTAGACATAAAATAACCAAAATTTAAGTCAACAAAGCGTTATTTTGACAAAATTTGGTAAAAAAAATAATGCAGAAAATAAAAAAATTAAACAAAAACGTTTTGTTTTAGTCTAATTCACTAGGTTTTAAACAATTTTCACAAAAAAATTTGGATAATTTAGGAGAAAAAAGACAGAAAATCGTAAAAATGGATCTAAAAACGTTATTTTTTGCTTGTTTTGATCCATTTAAAGCGCTTTGCAACAAGAAATAGAGTAAAATAAAAAAATTGGTTAAAATATTGTAGAAAAACACAAAATTGTGAACCGTTTCTCTAGATTTTGGTAGAAGCTAACACAATTTGAAAGATTTGATCAAAAATGCAGAAAACAAAAAATCAGACCTAAAATGCTTTATTTCCCCCCGTTTTTTTATGTTTAGTAACTTTTTCACTAAAATACTAACAAAATGTGAAATATTTGTCTAAAATAATGTAGATAATCATAAGATTTAGCCAAAATAGACACAAAATCGCAAACTTACCAAACTTTTCTTGTAAAATGAGTAAAGCATGAGTAAAATATTTGTTCCAGTAATTTCAGAAAAATCCCATTAATTTCATTAATCCATCGTAATTCTATTGTTTTCAGATTAATTCCAAATTAAGTTCTGTAATTCCAACTTAATTTTCGAAATTCCGACTTAATTTTCGTTATTTCAAAATAATTTCTGTAATATTAAACTAATTCCGATAGTTCTAAAAAATTCAACGTAATTTATTCCTCGGAATAAAATATGCTCTGCAGGAAGTTCCATAGGCCGCAAAAACTTTTCCGAAAAACAAGAAGGCTAGTTGCATCTTAATGTCGACTTACAAAAGTTTAATTGAGTTTAGTTACCTTTCCTCATCAAACATTGCAAAGTTTTTACTTTACAAACTTTTCTTCTAAAATAAATACATCGTGAGTAAAATTTTTGTGTTTTAGGGGAGATGCTTTTACTGTTATTACGAATAATTCAAATTTTTTTCATAAAACATTTCGATTTAAATCCCAACACAATAACAATTTTTCTGACGAAACTGTCAGTTTTTCAAAATAAAAAATTAAATTGATTAAAATAAAAACAATTAATAAAAGTTATAAAAATTAATCATTTTGTAAAATACTATCTAGAGATTCTGGTCAAAATAACACAAAAAAATAACTCAATAATAAATAAAAATGAAATGTATCAAAAAACTGTTAACCTGAAAAAATTGTGAACAATAATTCCAGTTCCAAAAAAATTCCACAAAAATTCCAGTAATTATTTTCAGATTATTTCATATAATTCCAAATTATTTTATTTATTCCTAATTGATTCCAATTTTAGTTCTAAGAAATGCAACGTCATTTAAAAAATATGTAATAATTCAAAAAAAAAATCAGTAAAATCAAAAAGATGCGAATTATAGTAATTTCAAAAAAATCCCAGTAATTCACAAATAACTCCAGTAATTCCAAAAAAGTGCTACCGAAATTCCAGTAATTTCATTAATCCATCGTAATTTCATTGTTTTCAGATTAATTCATATAATTATTCTAAATTAATTCCTGTAGGTAATCCCAATAGTTCTAAAAAATTCAACGTAATTTATTCGTCGGAATAAAATATGCTCTGCAGGAAATTCCATAGACCAGAAAAACTTTTCGGAAAAACAAGAAGACTAGTTGCATCTTAATTTCTTAATATGGACTTACAAGTGTTTAATTGAGTTTAGTTACCTTTCCTCATCAAACACTGCAAAGTTTTACCTTCCAACTTTTCTTGTAAAATAAATAAAAATCGTGAGCAAAATATTTGTGATTTAGAAGAGATGCTTTTACTGTTATTACGAATAATTCAAATGGAACATTTTGCAATATTACTCCAGATAATAACGCAGTGATTGATGATCAAATGTATAATAAACATGTCCGCAAATGCGTTCTTTTTTAGTCTCAATTGAGACAAAATAAACCAAGTGGATAGGGAACGACTCTGGAACAAACTCCAAGTTTGGAAAATTGGAGAAAACATCAAAACTAACACAACAATTATTTAATCCGTGTTTTATTTGTGTTGATTTAAGATCCTTGCGAAAAAATTCCTGTTTTTAGAACGTAAAACCCCAAAAACAAGCTCACCTATCAGGCCAAGTGCGGTTTTTCCCACAAATCTCTTAAATTTATAATCATATCTGCGATCAGTTGGCGATAAATCAAACGTTGGAAATTCACACCGCATCAAACTCGAGAGAAAAAAATACATTTCAATGTAAATACGTCCGAAATAAGTGTCTCCGTCAAGACCGCCGATTTGTGTTTGAATAATAAACAAGAAGTGTGTAAAACACATTTGAATTTATATTAGGTTTTTAGACGGAATAAACCCAAACAGTTTCAAGTATTCATTCCCACAATAATTCCTTTCAGAACAGTTCAAAACGATAATAAACACACCCGCACTCATTACGCTTTATTTCCAGTCGCATCGAAAACTTCACTGTGGGAAATTATGAAGTTTGAACAACTTTCAACCTCCTAAAAATGACGAATATTTACGTCAAGAAAATCGTGGAGGATCAGGAAAAGGCGCGAAAAGTGGCTGAAGAAAAATGCATTTCGATGTTTGGACCAGGAGTGTTGCAGGAATTCGCTGAACCAATTTATAACGAAACTGAGAAAAGTGAGTTTTTTAAATACAATTATTTTTTACTAATTTGCGTTTTGTAGCTCTGAGATGTCCAGCGTTTTGGGATACTGTTCTTTGTTGGCCTGACACTCCCTCCGGTGCTGTCATAAACCAGTCGTGTCCCAGCTATGTCGCTGGTTTTCTTGCGGTAAATCATTGCTTAATATTTTTTACCCGTAAAATATCTAAATATTTATTTAGTCGAGCAATGCAACTCGTCAATGTATGGAAAATGGTAGTTGGTATATAAAGGATAACAGGACGTGGACCAATTACAGCAGTTGTTATAAAGATAAAATTACCACAATTTACCTTGATTTGAATAAGACAAACATATCAGGGGTTCTACAGGTAAGAAATGAGGTTAAAATTATGACAAAACTAAAAAAAATATTTTTTTGGCCAGAAATACGCCCCAGTCGTCCAAGTCATATCAGAAACGGGCTACATAGTCTCCTTTGCCACCCTCATTATCGCATTTGCTATCATGTTGTTCATCAAGTAAGTACATTGAAGGTTATTTAAACAAAAGAAAGTTAAGGATTAAATTAAAACATTAAGCAACGGATTAAAAAAAATTGGCAACACTGAACAATATATTCTGTCTCAATGTTGCCAACTTAATTTCAAAGGGTCAGGCCACTTTGATCAGAAATTTAATTGCTCGCATGGTTTAAATTCATCTGCAGTTGGAAAAAGTCAAAAGTTTCTCCTGAAAAAACTTTCATACGAAATAATTTTGCTCGCGCCCCAGAGGTAAATGCTATATAAGGTAAGATACCAAAAACATGGAGAAAACGTTAAAAACATTATCCATAAAAATTTCGAAGTTATGAGAATTTAAAATTTGCACAAAGTTCAAAGTTTCCAGGCTATTAGAAGAGGAAACAAGGAAATAAATATCAGAATTTTTTAAACAATTTTTCTGTGTTCCTGGTATCTCATCTTACTTAAAATTTTTCTCTAGAGCGCGAGTACTGACACCCTGTATTTGTGATTAATTACGATTTTTATGCTAAACTGGTTATATTTTAGTGTAAAAAACGGATTTTTTTTTAAAACTAAGTGAACAATTTTTAATTCACTTAAAAAAAATGTTTCATAAACTATCAATGTTTTCCAAAATAAAAAAATAAATTAATTAGATTCAAACAAAAATTAATTAGAAAACTATACAAATTAATCATTGTGTAAAATCCTATCCTAGAAACTGACTAGAAATTCTGGTAAAAATGACACAAAAAATAACGCAATAACAATTAAAAATAAACTTAAAAAAATGTGTACCTACAACTAATTCCAGTTAGAAAAAATTCCACAGAAATTTCAGTAATTTCAATAAACCATCGTGTAATTTCATAGTTTGCAGATTAGTTCCTATAATTTCAAATTATTTCCTGTAATTCCAACTTAGTTTTCCCAATTCTAAAATAATTCTTCTAATTCCAAATGGATTCCAATATTAGTTCTAAGAAATTCGACGTAATTTTGAAAAGAAATAATTTGCAATAATTCTTAAAAAAAAATCTGTAATCCCAAAAAGAGATATACTTTCAAGAAGAATTCCGATAATTTCAGAAAAAATCCACTAATTCACGAATAATTCTAGTACTCTAGAAATTCCAGTAATTTCATTAATCCATCGTAATTCTATTGTTTCCAGATTGATTCCAAATTTAATTCCTGTAATTTCAATTGAATTTTCGAAATCCGACTTAATTTTTGTTATTCCCAAATAAATCCTGTAATTCCGAATTAATTCCACTAGTTCTAAAAAATTCAGTGTAATTTTCAAAAGAAATTACCTCCGCTAATTACAAAAGGAATTTCAGTAATTCCAAAAAAATTGAGTAATTCACAAAGAATTGCAATAATTCCAAACAATAATCCAAAGATAATTTTAATAATTCCAAATAATTTGAAAGAATATTGATTAAATTCCAAAAATTTCTAACACTAATTCCAGAGTTAACGGCCCCTCGTAAAGTGTGTTCATAATTTTTACAATAATAAAGTAAAATCTACGAAATTTTTTCTTCTTAAATCACATTGTAAACTTTACGAATTAGTCTGTAAAGTAAATCACAAATTGCGAGATGTTTATTTTTTTTAATTTAAAACATGATATAAAAAATTGCGATTTCAAAAAACGATTAAAAATACCGAGAAAATATACAGGCTGTTAAAAAACGATTGTAAAATATTTCAGGAGGTATAGTATGAACCAAAACGGTTTCGGAAATATCAAAAATTATTCGTTTTTTGACACATTTTGACAAAAAAAGAACCTTCTAGTACACATTCTAAAAATTTTCACATTCGATATCTCCGAAACCGTTACTTTGTGGACCCATAATTGTTAAGACTTTTTTGTTTATTTTGGTCCATACTATTACCTCCTTAAATATTTTGCAATCTTTTTCTCACACCCTGTATAAATCTCTAATAAGATAAATATTTTTTTTAGTTTTTTGTTTTTTGAATATAAATTAATTTCTTTACCTACTTACATGATACGATCTATAATTTCAAAGTACTTAGAGTGCTATTATCACGTTAGTGGAAAATATCATTTTTTTTAATGTAATATTCAAAATGACTCAAAACTTAAATTGTTTCTCTAGTCTGCGTGAGTTTATTTATGCAATTTTTATCTACATTTTTGCAACTTTACGATGCTTTTAATACCAATTCTCGCGTCATATTTTGTGAAGTTATCCTGCAATTGTCGCGCCACTTGCCCACATTTCCAAGGCAAAAGGCGGTTTATGGCATTATTATTCATAACCGCGGCATAAAAAGGCCCATTTTTGACACTGCTATCTTTTAAAGGAAACTCCATTGTGCCCGAAACATTCTCCACATGCATCTCTTCGCCTCCTTCATTCTCCGCGCCCTCACATTCATCGTAATCAAAAGCACTTTCGTCGAAGGTCTTGGTTTACCTTCGGATCTCAATTACCGGAACGGCTCTCTATACTTCGATATAAATTCCGAGGTTGCTCTTTTCTATTTTTCACCACACAAATAACTTTCTCATTTCAGACCAATAACTGGGCTTGTAAACTACTGACGAGTCTGTGGCAGTATTTTATCACAGCTAATTACTCATGGATCTTAATGGAAGGCTTGTATTTGCACAACTTGATCTTCAGGGCACTTTTTGCAGACTCTAGTAATAGCATTAGGTGGTATGTCGTGATGGGATGGGGACTACCATTGATTATTATCGGGTTTTGGGTCGCTGCGCGACTTTTAGTGGAGGATAATCTGTGTTGGACCACCCATGMAAACTACGACGTGTTTTTGATCATTGGAATACCCACCATGGTGTCCATTTTGGTACCAACCAACTTGAAAAGTTTCAAGTCTAGTTTCAGTGTTTTCAGATCAATTTATTGTTGTTTATGAGGATCTCGATGGTACTTTACAGCAAACTACGATCACCAATCAATGAAGACTCCCGGAGGTACCAAAAGTGGGTCAAATCAACCCTAGTCCTAGTACCCTTATTCGGCGTCCATTATGCACTATTCCTAGCACTGTACTATCTGATCAAAACGAACAAAATAGTGGAAGTGGTTTGGCTATTCTGCGACTTGTTGTTTGGCAGTTTTCAGGTACTTAATCCTGTGATAATTTGGGATGATTGAGTACCGTTTTAGGGCTTCTTTGTGGCCATTCTTTACTGCTTCCTCAACGGCGAGGTCAAGTCAGAAATCCAGCCACACCTCTACTACTTTTTGACATATCTCGCCACTAACAAATACTCCAAGTGCTTGTTTCCTTGCCGAAAGAAGTTCCTAAGGTTCTTGCCCCGACTATTTTACTTTTAAATACAAAAAAATTTTTAGATCAGTTGTGGGCAGGTCGTCAGTTTGCACGACTATGTCTTGTAGCTCTCTCTACACCAATGGTGTTTTGCACCGCAACAGCAAATGTCGGCTGGATTCGCTTCCAAAAAACAAGMCCACTGGTGAGTTTTCCACGGAAATGAACAAATTTTATMGTGGTTTGTTTCTAGATAAGCCGAAAGATCACTTTTGTAATAATCCGTCGAGGAGGAATTCCAGGTCGCAGCGACATTCCCAAGCTTTCAATTCGTCGGCAACCATTCCAGTGAGTGTAAAAGTTCTAATTGATTTTTATTCTTCTTGTAATTTTAGACAGCCGAAACGACACTATGCATCGAACACAACTCTGGGAAATGTCGCTCCGAGTCGGAAATCAACGAAGAAAGTCTCAAAATGGTGGTGCACAGTGACTTCTAAAGTTACTTTTTGTTTGTGATATCCGTCGATGTCGATCAAATTRTTTGATGTACATCATGTTCTTTTCATTCGTTCTAGTCGGTTCCGAAACCGGAAACGTGTTGTATTTTTGTATGCAAGACTGCTAAGATGTTAAGTGTGATGTTTCAAGGTACATTGTCACATGTATGATTTTGAAATAAAATGTTTCATCTTATTTTCCTTGTTTTATTACAAACAATTAGACAAAGTAATATTTTGTCATGGATTTTTGAATTTGACTTTTATTGGTCACTTAAAGATTCACAATTCTGTCAATTTTTACTTTTGAACGACGATTACTGTAAAAATATTAGACTTAGAGCAAAAAGCACAACACCAAAATCAAAATCTATCGATTGACAAGTCATTATCTCGCAAAAAAACTAAAGGAGATAGAGCAAATAACAATTTTTTTTATTTAGTAAATTGCGGCAAAACTGAGTCTCAATGACATAATATTTTGACCTATACCTATGTAAAATGTTCCGGGGAATCGATTCACATCAAGAAAATTGCAAAATTTGTAATAGTTTTGAAGTTATAGCCCAATTTATAATTTTGATATTTTTCACTATATCAGAAATTTTCTCGCTAAGTGTTTATCGTAGAACACTGACCTTTTTTTGTATATAATAAAAAATTAAATTTTCTTTCCAACACTACCAAACATAAAATAGGTTACCATCGATAAGTCCGGAGTTATTAGCAATAGACCCCTTAGGGTACCAAAAATCGACCAAAATCTCGACAAAAATCAAAAAAAAATTCCACTTTAAAATTGATCCATATAACATTTTTTAGATTTCTTAAGACTTAAAAAAGTGCATAAAACGTTATTGGGTCAAGTTCAAAAAATTACGAATTTTTTTGAGTTTTTGAAGGTGAGCGGTAAAAATCGTAAAAATAGTCAATTTACCTTAAGTCGTAAAAACACTTAAAATGTGGTTTTCTGGACATAAAATTACGCGCTGAACACAATGCAACAAGTTAAAATACTCTACGATGCATAGTTTTTGAGATATTAAGTAATAAAGTCAAGAATAAGGCTAAAAGCATCCGATTTTGACTAAAAAATCAATTTTTTTTATTTTTATGAAAAACTAGTACTGTATGTAAATTAAATACGCCTGTACAAACCGTTTTGAGCTAGGACTCATAGTTTTTGAGATAACTTTTTTATGAAAAAAAAAAAACAAAAATGGCTCCGTACTCGGAACTACCCGGAGCGACTGTCGGTTTAAATAGAAAATTTATAGTAGATTTTAATAATTTTTAGATTTTTGGTCCAAGTCTTACAGTTTTATAGAAAAACGCATTTAAAATTTCACAAATTTGATAATTTTTACTTTTGGAACGACGATTACGATTATTAGACTTACAGTAAAAAACTTAACACCATTGTAATCGGCTTAAGTCGACTGACGCTAAAGCCAAATCAATATCTCGCAAAAAATGCAATTTTTAAACGCCGATTACGACGAAACTAGAGGAGATACCGCAAAATGCTTGCCAAATTCGTAATAAGCGCCCAAAAATCTATCGGATAAGGTAGGTTTAAATTGAATCTGAGACATGATTAAAAACACTATTTTTCAAAAATTTTTGCTTTTTTTGTAAATTGCGGCAAAACTGTATCTGAATGATATAATATTTTAAAGCAAACATATGTAAAATGTTCCGGGGAATCGATTGACGTCAAAAAAAATTGCAAAATTCGTAATAGTTTTAAAGTTATAGTCGAATTTGTATTTTTAACTTTATCAGAAATTTTCTCGATATCTATATATCGTAGAACATTGACCTCTTTTGTATATGATAGGAAATTATTTTTTTCCAAGGGTACCAAAAATAAGAAGTTATCACCAATAAGTCCGGAGTTATTAGCAATAGACCGCTCCGGGTACCAAAAACCGGCCAAAATCTCGGCATAAATAAAAAAAAAACAACTTTAAAATTGTTCCATACACCTTTTTTTTACATTCCTAGAGGTCTTAAAAGCTCAAAAAAAGTGCATAAAACGTTATTAGGTCGAGTTTGAAAAATTAACGAATTTTTTGAGTTTTTTAAGGCGAGCGGTAGTAAAATCGTAAAAACTAGACTCAACTTTTGACGTTTTTGTACTTTTTTTCAGCAAACACCTGGTTAAACCAAGGACTCAATACCCCAAGTGCAACAAGTGTGTAAAAAATAATAAATAAAAACCAAAGTATCGAAAAATTTTATTTGGCACAGTAAAAAATACAAAAGTAACAAAAATAATCAAAAATCATCGTCCAACAAGGCCTCGGCAAAATCATCAGCCTCTATACACCCATCAATATGTTGTTTCATTTCAACTTCCTCCACCAATTTCAAACAGAAAGGACAATTAAACTGAGAACTATTTTTCTTATCACAATCTTCTTTGTCTTCATCAAAAATATCAACGATACATTCATCCAAATGCGAGTTAAGTTCACTTTTTACAATTTTCTTCCCACAAGCTAAACACGAAACCATTTCTTGACCCAAATCATCCTCCACTCTGTCACAAACCTGCATTATGCACTTCTCAACGTGAATATCAAAACTACAACTTGTGATTTGTTGGCCACAAAGGGGGCAATCCCGTGTTTCATCTCCATGAAAAGAAGTGGTAAGATCTATACTTTCCCCTTTTTYKGGTGACTTAATCAAACATACATCCAGGTGTTGATTTAGATCAGCCATTAGGACCTTTTTATTACAAACAGGACAGTCACAACACTCATTGGGAATTTTTTGKGTGCTAGGTGGAGAAACAGATAATTTAGGAATTTTTGAAACAGTCGTTGGCTCCTCTGAGGGTCTCTTCTTATTATTGAATTTGTTGGCCCAGTGGTTTCGGACGGCAACGAAATCGTCTGTCTGTGTAGTAGTAGTAGTACTAGTACTAGGACTAGCACTTTTTAGTTCAGTGGTATTAAAAATAGTTGGCTTAAAAGTACTCTCACTAGTGTTTTTATTTTTAGTGACTGTTATAGTACTAGATGAATTGTTTTTTCCTCTAACAACTGTGTTTTTCAAGTCTTTGAAACCCTTCACATTGTTGGTGGAMATAAAAKCTCTRATATCTTTACTCTTAACACYGKTCACACTCTTTTGTTTCTTATTTTCCGGTTCTTTACTCTTCACGYCGTTCACACTTTTCTGTTTCTTATTTTCCGGTTCTTTTACTTTAATGAATGTCCCACCGCAAGTGCGCAAATGCTCCGCCCACCATCTATCATTGGGCCCCGGAGCCCTATTCGTAGCCCTCTTCACCGTACCAAAATAGGGCTTTCGGTGCTGACAAGGCCCGTTGCAGCGCCACCAATGCTGCTGATACAACCGAACTTCGTCATGGAAATCGTGGTAAACAGTGATACTAGTCCCTGGAAAAAAAATGACAGCTATGTGGCATAAAAACCTCCAAATTGCCTTTTTGGTAATAATAAGTATTGAAAGTGGTTTCGCAAAACTGATTTGTTACGAATGTTGGTCAAAATCAGGAAAATATACGCCAATCTGGCCGCCGGATTCCAATTGGACACATTGTGACCAACAGTGGAGACTGAGAGAATGTAAAGGAAATTATTCAGCAAACAGGTGTTTCAGTTTCAATTTCAAAAAAGGTACCCTCTTGAGTATTTAACAACTATCTAAAGGGCAYTTTCAGAGGGTGTTCATGCAAAAGGCTGCGCAACTTTTGATATCGTCTCGTACAAACTAATTTGTCGCAACAAACACAACGATAAGGGTTACCACTGCAACAACTGCAACTCCCACTTATGCAATTTTGCAAACCAACCCCCAATCCCACTTTTCTTAATTACRATAAGTTCCCTGTTAACTAACTACTARGAATTAAAATTTTAACACACCAGCCTCGTTATTGATCCGATACATGTGCTTGTGGAACTCCGGCCCGTGCCCATCTCGATCCCTATTATTATGAGTGACAAATAAATACGCATGAATCATCTCGTGTAAAAGAGTCTCAACCAAATCCTTCCTCGGCCTTAATTTAAGCAAAGGTTCGCTCAGTGTGATACTACACAGCCCCCCTCTGCCATTATACGAGCAAACCCCGGCACAGGACGTCATCCTTTTGCTCCAGGAAACGCAAACCGCTACCAATTTGTTCCAGAAAAAACGTTTATCAAACGCGATGAAAAGAGCGTGAATGTCGGGGGTGGGGTCCACGAGTTCCCATGACGGGTCTATGAGCGATTTACTCGAATTGAGCCCCGTTTTGGGGTAATGGTAAACAAGACTGGACGGTTTTTCAATTTCAGCTTCGTGTTTGAACTGTTCTTGTAAATGTTTGGCCAATTCTAAATCAGACTGTTCATTTTGGTCTGATTCCTGCTCGAAACGATGTTGCAAAATGAGCGCCATTTGATAGTCCAGCTCCCCCATTCTAACCTCAAAACCTGYCAAACAAATTTGTGATAACTAAACCACTAGTGTGAYACATACCGGGCCCTWGTTGTTTTTTCAATGATTCAGTGTTATAATAATACGTTTTTGATCCAAAAACTGTTATTTTTGCCCCCAACTCTCACACTCTAACTCTTGTTACTTCAATGGTCGTAAATGTCATTTGAGTGACATGTCGGGTGTAAAGTGTCAGATTTTGTTGCGAAAATTACCGAAAAAAACCCTCAAACTATGTGTAGTGATTTAGATTCGGCTCTATAATGTCTAGTAATAATTTTGACGAGGTTTTATTGTCTTTTCAAGACACACAAGACAGTACAAAACTCCTCAAGATTCTCATCGACGTACGAAAAAAGGTAGATGGCGACTGTCCGAAAAACAAAGAGAATATTTGCAAAATCCGCGAAAAGGGCTGTTTCAAGTACATTGTTGCGTCACTCCAAACATCCAAAAAGAGCATAATCAACGTTTCGTTGAGTATTTTAGGGAATTGTTGTCTGGACGCAAAATGCGCTAGAGATGTGGTAGGTTTTGACATTCGCAWAAGGGGTTTCACCGGTTTGTTTCAGATAATTCAATATGGGGCTTTGTCTAATCTCAATCAGCTCCTGAAACGGTTCCCGAAAGATGATAGTATAAACGGTCGCGTTTTTCGTATTATTGGCAATATGTGTCAGCATAGGGACCAATGGGTTGGCACTATAATCGATAAAAAACCCCAGATTGTGATACATATTGCCAAATATCTCAAAGAGTCGGTGGAGGAGGACAATGGAAAAGTCTCAGAAGCCACCATTATTATGGGGGTTCGAGCGTTAAGAGTGTTGGTGAATCGGGAAACGCTCCAGTCWCTTGTTACTACMTATGGGGTACTTAAAACWATCGGAATGTTGCTTATYAAATATGGCGCCATYTGGCAAGARACTAAAAAAGGYGAAAGCGTTCTTATYAACATAGTTAAATTACTCCACGAGTACTCGCGGTATCGCTTCTACCCCTCTATCCAAGAAATGAGGAGTACAGATAAAGGGGACTCTATTGTATATCTTAGCAAAATTCTCTTAGTCGCCCCACGTCAAGTCGTCAAAATTGTTATGAATTTCTTRAAGATYAGTCAAYTMAAGTCCGATTTACCCGTTCCTGAGATTTTYGATAGCTTCATTGAATTGCTRAGCGACGATACGATCATTCAAGGTAACACTGTTGCCAACTTAATTTCAAAGTCACTACATTTCCAATTTTAGAATTTAATTCGACATGTGAAGAGTGCATTAAGTGTCTGTGCTACCTCTTAGATCACCCGGGGAATAGAGAGAATGAAAGGTGTGGCGATAGCATTCCACTTTTAATTAATGTACTAAGTGGTCTCACCTTCCAGACGAACAATAAAGTAAGTTTTGGGTAAAACCCCCACTGTTTTTTCATTTACTGGTTTCAGATCGAGTGTAGCATTTTAATTATATCGACTTTAAATAAATGCAAGTATAATTTTGGGCTGATCATGGATCAGCTTAAGTGTAATGTTGTGGAAGTCTTRAATGAAAAGTTGAAATTGATAGTTGGGAGTGTTGAGCCGCTTAATATTAATCATAARAGTGACAAGAAACGGAAAAATAATTTTCTTGCCGAGTTTACAGAGAGCAAGAGGAGGAAACTAACTCTAGATTTCGATGTAAGTCTGAAATTAAGTTAACTTGATTTCTAATTGTTATTTTAAGAATGAAGATGAAGAAAGTGTTAGTTGTGATAGTGGTGATGATGTCGATAAGTATTATTCAAGTGGTATYAGATATGACTATAGTCCGRCATCWAGCAACGAATCTGAGATGGCCATGTCTTGGACTTCAGGGTTGTCACCACCGTCGAGTCCTCGGTCCCGACTCTACGGTAAAAAAAATTCTAAAACTTTTAGTAAATTTCGGAACTAGAAGTTGGTAGTGTAGTCAAATACCAACTTAACAAAAATTTGACTATTTGAAGGACGTCAATGACTGTCTTATTTTAGGTATTTCTGAGTCCGATTCGGACGACTATTCGCCAGTGTGTAGCGAAGTCGACCCGTCAGATTTTCCGTTACCGAAACTGGACGGTGAAGAGTCGCCAAACCCGGAACTTGATTCAAAAAGTTCCGACATTTCGGAAGAAACTGAAGAAATTCAAAGTAAACCGTACCCGATTTTCTTCATTGTCATAAAAAAGCAATTCCAGGTTTTGATGTGGACTCAAGTAGCGTCAAACAAATCAAAGGAAGACTCGTATTAGAAATAGTCGATTTACTCAAAACCTACATTAAAATCAAACCACCAGTGACGCAATTGGGAACCCCCGAATTGCTCCTCGGACTGATCAAAAGCACGGCCTACTTCCACTGGCCATGCTCATCCGCCATTTTAGATATAGTTGACGTTATTTACAAAATATTGGAGTAAGAAGTGAGTTTAGGGGAAATACTTGGATTAATGTCGTACTTTAGGTCACACAATTATCTACTTCCTTTGATGCAAAGTGACTTTATTCCGGCTGTTTACGACATGGCGAAAATCCAACATGGCTCCTGGTGCTCAAAATGTCGCCAATTTCAATGGATCAGCAGCTCGGTAATCAGAAAATTGTCACGGGTGGCCGARTCGGGCGGAGGCAAGGGCGACATTGCMCATAAACTGCTCCGCGGGGACAACGCCACTAAACAACAGTTGGTACTAGTGATTCCCTACATCATCAGGTAAGCGGTACTCCCGACTGTCTTTTGTAACCAAATGGAAATTAAGTCACGATGAGTAATGCAGGATATTTAACACGTTTTCAATTAAAAAAAAACTTATATTTATCCCATTTCTCGATTGTCACTCTACTTTTCTTGTTACTTCATTGGTCCTAAATGTCATTCGAGTGACATTTGTGTAGTATGATTTTGTTGCAAAAATTACCAAAAAAAGCCCTCAAACTGTGCAGACACGATAAAATGTCTAGTAATAATTTTGACGAGATTTTATTGCCATCTTAAGACTCTTATGACATCACAAAAGTCTTCAAAATTCTCATAAACGTACGAAAAAAGGTAGATCGTGACTTTGACTAATACCGATTGGCAATACTGAAGTATGGGTAATCCTAATAAACAGGTGGTCCAAAAGTCTGGAAACGATTTTATTCTGGCGAAACTATTTATTTTTTAGGCAAATAAATTTATAGGTGTGCAATGGCTATAAAAATGCTATTCAAAAAAAAATTTGAATATTAATTATTTGTTTATACTTACGAGATAAACATAGTAACATTTTTTTTTAATGGAAACTTACCACAATTCTTTTTTTAGACAACGAGCTTGTTACAAGAATTGATGCGATGCAATTTTTTTGTAAACAGCACACTTTTTTGTTAAAAAAATGTTTGACTTACAAGAATTAATTTTTTATTTTTTTGAGTAAACTACCAGTTTTTTTTGGAAATAAATTAATAAATGTTTAAAGGTTGTAAAGGAGCAATGCCAAAATATTTTTTATTTTAATTAATTGTTTAAACTTTTGAGATTACCATACTAACAATTTTTTTCTTAAATGAAAACGGTTTTTTATTTATTGTTTTAAAGTCGCGGTCAATTCATAGTGGCCACTTCCCTGTGTAAATTTGCAAAAATTGAGTTTTGTAAATCCGACGTTAAACATCCAATTGTTTTTTTAGTGACATAGCTATCAAAAATGACAATTCTAAAAAAGTCGGGTTAGAATACTTCACATATAAAATCTATTGCGCCTGTCACAATTATTGACATTTCTGCGACCAACKTTGACAAAACCCACACAATAGAAGTGGCGGGCTAAGTGCTGCCAACTTTGAGATAAATTAAATGGCCACTATGAATTGACCGCGGGTTTACAAGGATATGTTTATGCATTTTATAAATGTACAAAAATATTTATTGAAAATGTTACAATTTACGTTAAAAAATTATAAACTTTATCTGTTGTCAAAACTTTCTTCCACCGGCCATGGGGTGGTATGTTAAGACCTATCATCAGTGGTAAGCACGCCTTCTTTTATGTCATTGCTATGGCGTCGTCATTTTGCTTTATTTTCCAAATAAAAATTGTTTCTCTCTGGAGCGCTTTTTGAGACACAGGAGATTACTGCAGGTAGAAATAAAAATATTTTAATCTGAATTTCATTTCCAGGTTTCCATTAAAAAAAAAAAGTTACTATGTTTTTCTCGTAAATATAAACAATTAATTAATATTCAAATTTTTTTTGAATATCATTTTTATAGCCTATAAATTTATTTGCCAAAAAATTTTATAGCTTCGCCAGAATAACATCGTTTCCAGACTTTTGGACCACCTGTATTATATTTTAAGTGACGATTAAGCCGTCGGTCACATGTCACTTATTTTTTTTTAATTTGACAGTCAAGATTGTCAAACTAAGAATTTAAACTTGACGTCAACATTTATTGTTGTCTTAAAAACTTAAATCTACCAAACATTTTTTGGTGTTATTAACATGTTTAATAGGTTTTTAATTAATTAATTAAAAAAACATTTTTACCCCATTTCTYGCACTCTACTTTTCTTGTTACTTATTGGTCCTAAGTGTCATTCCAGTGACATTGTAAAGTGTGATTTTGTTGCAAGAATTACCGAAAAAAATCCTCAAACTGTGCAGACTCGATAAAATACTGTCGAGCAATAATTTTGGCGAGGTTTTATTATCATTTTAAGACACTCAAAATATCACAAAACTCTCCCAAGATTCTCATAGACGTACGAAAAAAGGTAGATAGCGACTTAAACTAATACATTGCCAACCTTATAAGTTAAATTAAAATTTCTATTTTTGTTAGGAGTAAAGCAATTCTGGTGAAGTTCATGCTGAATTGTGGCGGCCTGGAGGTGCTGATGAAGCTGCTCAAGGACCAGTCKCAGTTCCAGAACAAGAGTATCAAAGTCCTTTGTGTGYTAGCGTCGAAGAAGCTCGGGATTCCCAACCCGAAGGACGTGTCTGGTAGTTACAAGAACGTGACGGGTGGCAGCACTGGCGATACCTCATCGGTGGTCACATTTAAATTGGACGATGGGAGTTTACTGAGCGCTGATCGGGGGTTATTGAGCCGCAATTCGGACTTTTTCGCCCGCCTTCTCAACGGCGATTTCAAGGAGTCGGGTCAGGAGGTGATCACGCTACCCAACGTGACGAGTAAATCGTTGAGGTGTTTGCTGCATTTGATCAAGACTGACGTGGTGGAGATTGACATCGATTTGAGTACTCATTTGGACGTGATTGGGCTTTGTGATAGGTTTCTGATGGAGGAGTATAGGGGGTATTTGATGGATTGTGTGGAGAAGTTCAGATTGAGTCCTGATACGATTCCGACGATTTACAACTGGTCGCTCGAATCGGGGACCAATCTCTTGAGGGTCGAGTGTATAGCTTTCGCTCTTGTTGCCAACATTATAGACTCGGAGAGGTTTGAAATGTTTAGGAATTTGTTCGATTTGGGGTACACTGAAGAACTGGTCGAGGATATACGCAAGTTGCTGGTGCGGTACTTGACTGTGAACCAATCCCGTGACTGTAAAAAGCGCAAAAAAACTGTGATAAAAAGAAAAGATTCATAGTATTTATTAAGTAGGATTTTTTACTTGGCAGTTACCCAAGAGTTGACTAATCCAACAATAACTTACAATATGTACAACAAGAAATTGTAATTAATATACAAATATCCAAATCAATCTTTTGTTACAAAACAATAAATTATTTAGATAATAAATTAGAGCGCAAATAATCTAATCTTGTCACTGGCTAATACTTTCATTTCTTCTTCAATATATGTTCATTAATCATGGTGTAGATTAAACCTACGGTGAGGGAAGCGACTGCTGCGCCTTGGGCCCCCACTCGCAGATGCATTAGGTAGACACTGGTGCTCATATTCCCCCTATTTTTGAACATGTAAGCCCCATATCCCACCGCCAGTGTGCACACTCCAATGGCTGTAAACCCCCAATTAGTACAATTTAAAACAACGTTTATGGCCCACCTATGGGGAAAAAGGGGGTTTCCTTCGACTTCCGCGCCAATCGGGATTCTGTTTCGTCCTCAAACTTGAACACTTTGGAATCGCTCATTGTTGCT